GGGGAGAACTAAGCGCTTCGCAGTGGGGTGTTTTAGTTGGTCGAACCACCACCAAGGCACCGACAGGGGTCGAGGGGAGTTGGGGAGCGGCCCGAATGATTCTAGGTTTTTTGCGAAACGCATGGTCCAGATTTGATCGGTAGGGACATCAGATGGCACGGGATAAGTTACACGGTGTCCATATTAATGTAAGCATTGCCACGCTAACACATCCATATAATACGGTGATTCTCAGCTGTTCAACAACTAAGTACATGATAGTTTTTTGTGTCGAATAGGAGACAGTAGCTTCATTACTTCACTACAAAAGATTCATTGCTCGGACTACAAATTTTCTTCATCACTACAAAAGATAGATACATTTTGGACTGAGTATATGATTCTACTCATCTAGAAAGATAATTAGTAGACCTAAAGTATTAAACTTATTCAATCTAAACTGGATCCTCTCTTCCAAAGAGAGGATCATGGTCACCTCAGTCGCTTGGGAGGAGGCTCGTCGTCATCGTCATTGTCATCCTCCTCCTCCTCGAAGCCCTCGTCGTCGCAACTCCAGGAGGACTCCCTTCAGAAGAGTCGGTGTCGCTAGAGGAGTCATCTGATGGGTCGACCTCGACCTCGTCGGGGGACGAGTCTCTGCTGGTAAGGCTCCAGGGGCTGCACATAGTTCCGGTCGGATGGAAGAAGGGGATGAACAAGGAAGAGGGCTGGTTTCAGAGGGCAGCGGGCTTGAAGAATACGTAGAGCGGTGGGCAACCTTGCTTCGGCTTCTCCCGATGGAAGTAATTGTGATGGAACAGTTTTGGTAGTTGGGACATTCAACACTCACGCTGAACTTACCGCCGGTAGACCAAACGGTGTTGTAGGGCCGGCGGCCATAACGCGTATCTCAGTCGGCTTGGCGTTCCATACGACGGAGAAATGCAACCCCACTATCACCGCCACATCGATGGTTGAACCGTGAGTGCTAGAAGTTTCATTTGCCGGTTTGATTCCTTCCAGGCCTCGCTATCGATCCAACCTTGCACCGTCGCTTATGTATTCTACGGCAGTGAAAGTGGCGACAGTGATCGCTCAATCTGTAATAGTGACCTCTGAGCCTAATAGTCTTGGATCCCTCAGTACCACTAAGTGCTTGCACTGATAAGGCCATCAATTCATCATCAGATTCTGTATCCACTTCAGTAGAAAGAAACTCTAGTTCTTCTCCTTTAGTAACACACTGCCACAACTGTTCCATTGCATTAAGAGAAACAATGGAAGGACATTTGTGTTGGGGTCCCCATTGCTCTCCACACTTAAAACATAGGCCCTTAGATCTTCTATAAGATTTCAGAGCAGAAACCTTATCTTCATCAGACTTGGACAGAGTTAATGGAACAGCCTTCTTGTCTTCAGCTGGTTTAGCAGTGGGTGTAAAATTGGGTTTGTGAGTTTCAACACCATGCTTCTTAGAATAATGACCAGAATCAGATCTCTTGATGACTTGATCTTGAAGTGCCTCCTCCTGCAGAAAAGCCAAGGAACTAGCAGTATCGAGGTCTTGTGGTCTATGAATCATCACAACAGCTCTTATATCTTTTCTAAGGACATCAACAAAACGATTGGTGATAACGGTGGGTGAAAAAGTGGGATCATAAGCGAGCAACTGATGCACGATATCACTGAACTGTTCAACATATTCACAGACATAGGATAACTGTTTATGGTGGAAAAATTGCCTAAGAAGATGGTTGTGCTCATCCCTATCAAATCTATTGGTAGCAGATAACACAAAAGCATCCCAGGTTAGATCAGTGGAATTGCCTTGTAAGGTTTGGAACCAGAGGGTTGTTGAGCCAACCAGGTTCATAGATGCATAACTAACCCAAAGACTAGGAGCAACAGCATAGACATCAAAAAAGGTTTCACACTGCTTCACCCATAATCTAGGATTAGAGCCATCAAACTTTGGGAAGGAAAACTAGATCAGGTAATGCAGCAGTAACAGCAGGATGAATATGATGACCGCAACAAACAGAATCACCCAGAGCACAAGTCACGGGAGGGAATTTTGGGTAGCATCCGCACCTGTGACCGGGGACGCTTCCAGGGTGGCATACACCACCCCGAACACATTTCCCCGGCGCCGATGTTCAACGCGGTGGCCGCATGGCCCAGACGCCACCCCGGACGGGGTCGATCCCAGATGGGCAGAATCCGGCATCCCAGTACCCCCGGCCTTCGATGCTTCAGGCGCGGGTTGCTCGATGGAGATTCCCTTGTTCGCCGACGAGATATTGGAGCCGGTGAGGTGCTTGACGCGCTCACCGAGAGTGGAGACGGCGCTCTCCAAATCCGCCATCCGACTGTCCACCTCCGGTTTCCAAGCTTCGATCTCCTCTTTTGCCAGCTTGATCTCGGTCATCATCGCCTTCAACTCCGAAATCCCCTTCGAATTCTCGCTCAGGAGAGCGAGGATTTGGCCGAACTTCTCCCCCTGCGTCATGACGACTTGCTGCCTTGTGAGGTGGGCGTGAGGCGCTAGGATGACGGCTCACAACTCTGCCGCCGCTGTCGATCAAGCCAACCTCGGCACGGACCTATGGGATTTCGAAACAACCTGCCGTCGGGGATCACGGCTCCGGATCAAAACAGCGAGGAAGAGAGACAGAACGCAAGGAAATCTGTGGCTCCCGGGATCGAAATGAATCCGATACAAGATGTTACCGAACTACTAGCAATGTACGATATATTGGTAGAGTTTAGGTGGAACAAGGTCTCGAGCTCCGGCTATCGCCGTGCTCGCCGCCGCCGTCGCCAACAAGGCTCGGGTTCAAAGTAATGACGAAGTCAGCCTTCTCCTCTCCCGGATGTCGTTACAAGAAGGGGAAGGCCGCCTCCGTCATGGGCCACGCAGGGCCTGTTGGGCTAGTTGATCCAGTCCGGCCCAGTGACTCGTGCGCTCTTCTTCTTGACTCGATCCGAACGCTTTACAGCAACCGGCACAGCTTCAGGTGCTCCTTCAGTGATCGCGCCATCAGAGTTCTCAGCGTCTTGGTGCTCTTCAGCTTCAGGTTCTGTCACCGACACTGTCGGTGACAATATGCATCCTGATATGAAGTGCAGAATTTCGCTTCTGATTTAAGCCATTAGTTGGCTGCAGCTTTTTACTGTAGCCCTTCTCAATAATTTACTGTGACAGCAGCCGCTGTGGCTTTAATCTAGCTGATGATGCGAACAGGCGTCGGCCATGAATCCACGTCGAGATGGAGCTGAGACAACGACCGCCTCTAAGGCTCTGGCTGACTGACGCGGCCAGTAAACGAGCAAGGAGAGGAAGCCTAACGAGCTCCGCGTGACACAGACCCTAGTACCCAGTACCCACCATGCGATTTTTTTAAAATAATATTTTTTAATTATTAATTACAAATATAGTATTTGGATAAAAAGAATTGTAAATATAGTAGCCGGCTACTGGGGTGCACCCTGTCGGCAACTGGAGGGACGACAGAAGCCTATCGACATCCCAATAGCCGACTAGACGCCGGCCGTGGCTGGAGAGTACGGCCCAACAGGCCCTATCGGCCCGACACTCCTGTCGGCTACCGGGCAGCTGATAAGATTCTGTCGGCCGGCGGAGGGCCGACAGTCCTAAAATATCTATGCAATCTTCTTCCTCCCTCTCTCTCTCTCTCTCTCTCTCTCTCTCTCTCTCTCTCTCTCTCTCTCTCTCTCTCGTCGCTCCCTCACGCGCTTGCTTCTGCGCCGTCGTCGCTCGCCCCGTCGCCGCGCCCTCCCCTCGTCGGCGGTCGCCGGATCCGGCGTGCCCCAGCAGCAGCGGGGTAGGCCACCCCCACCCCACCTGCTCTGCTCCAGCAGCGGTGGCCCTCGCAGGTACGTCTCTCATTTTCTTTTTAGATTTTTTGTTTAGTTAGATTTTGTTAGTTTAGTTTATTAGTTAGATTTTCTGCCACGTTAACCTTATCGGCTCCTGAGGTGCTGATATGGGCCTGCCGTCCAGGGGTCCTATCGACAAGGTGCTACACCTGCAATAAATCTATAACAGCTTCTAGATTTGCAATTATTATTTAAAAAAATTCCCCACCATGCCGTGCAGCTTTCCAACAGTGTTAGCAGGACAGGGCATCAATGGCATGGAGGGACAGTGTAACAGAAACAGATTTTTCTTTTTGCTCCGCGTGACACAGACCCTAGTACCCAGTACCCACCGTGCCGTGCAGCTTTCCAACAGTGTTAGCAGGACAGGGCATCAATGGCATGAAGGGACAGTGTAGCAGAAATAGATTTTTCTTTTTGCAAAGGAGAATATCTATCTATACGCATTTGTGCTGTCACAGAAACAGATGCTGCTACATTGCTGCACTCCTCAAGTCCCATTGATACCATGGCATCACCTTCTTGACTTGACATGGCTATACAGATTTTGGGTCCGGCTGCAGAACAAAAGCTTCGAGCTGTGATTGTTCATCTTTGATTCCAAATAATCTTGAGATATCTCGCTTTGGTTTGCGCTTCTATTTCGGATGTCGTTATCTGTAAGTAATTATGTTTGTCTAAAGAATAACTCGCTTTGGTTTGCGCGCACTAATCACTAGTATTGATATAGGGAGGACAAGCCGACAGGGAGTGGGTGAGAACAGGGCGTATTGGGAGACTGAAGGACAAGGGCCTCTTTGTAATCGATTCTTGGGTGCTCCGGTTTCTCTTGACCCATTACACTGTTTATTGGATCAGTTTTCTCTCTCTTCCTCCTCCCTCTCTCACAGAGCAACAAAATTTTTAGCTTCACCGGCTCCTATGGGCTCTGTGAGAGGAAGAGGAAAGAGAGTGAAAACTGGCTCCAATAAATAGTGCCGCAACAGAATCCATAGCAAAGAGGCCTCAGATATGTCTCTATGTAGGGTTTATAAGTAAGTTTGGAAGGAATGGCCTCTATCACCACACTCAGCATCAAGTGGTGGTGTGCTGGAGTCTGAGAAGGCTAACTAGGAGAATCCATGGCGGCTACTCTTGCGCGGCTGCTGCCTCTTCTCCTCCTGCTGCTCCCGCCTCCCCTCCGGGAGTACCTCTCGGCGAGCGAGATCCAGCATGGGGCAAAGGACGACGCTGCCACCGGGGTGCTCCACCCCATAGTCATGGTACCTGGGGTGATCTGCCCTCACGTGGAGGCGCGGCTAACCGAGGCGTACCATCCGTCGGTGCCGCGCTGCGGCGCGATGATAGGGAAGCCGTGGTTCGGGCTCTGGGAGAACGCCACGGACGTTCCGGCCCACGACTACCTCGAGTGCTTCAAGGAGCAGATGAGCCTCGTCTACGACCCGGCTGCCAACGACTACCGGAACCCGCCTGGTGTGGACACGCGCATCCCCAACTTCGGCTCGGCGAGTGGATTCAGCGACAAGAGGCCTCTTCACACGTAACCACATCAAATCCTCCATATATGATATATATCCATCCGGATTCAGTTTCGTCCCATCCAAATTATTCTTTTCAAAGACGAAATATAAAATTTTCACCATTTGGAACACGTGTTCCCCATTTTGACTTCTCTCCGGAGCGAATTCATTCTCCTGCTTGTTGTCATATAATTTGAACAACATCTTTATGCGATATGTCTGAGTTGTCTTTAAAAAGTGTCGATACCTTAGGTAAACGGTCTTCTTAAATGCATCTAGGTACACCCATGAAGTACAATCCAAGCATACTAAGCATCATGTCTTCCCCTTTGATCTGTCCCGACAAAGCAAACAGCATGGGGTAATCATTGGTAGTGACAAAGGTAATAGCTCTACATATGAAATCCTCCTTTCTGAACGTATCGAACATCGGCATCCCATGCCTTCATAGCATCTCCATTTCTTGCATCAAACGCTTGAAGAACACATTTATATCAATGTCTATTTATTTGGGCCCTTGGATGAGAATAGTGAGCAAACGGTATTTTCACTTCTGATACAACCACGTGGGGATGTTGTACATGGTTAACATCACTAGCCGTGTGTTGTGGTCACTCGTCCTCTCATTCACTACAAGAAATTTGGCGATACATGACGATCTACTTTTATCATAGACACTAAAAACCGTCACGGTTAACTTACCATGACGATCCAAAAAAAGGTCATGTATCCCGTGTCATACATTTGCTTGACCAAATGGAGCCGTCATAGATTGGCATTTGTGTTTGTCATGGAAACCCTGGAAGTCCACTTAACCCAGACCGGGTCCGATTGTGTGTGACAAAATCGACTGTCATAGCCATCTGCCACGTAGGATGTTTCTCCGACACAGATTTGATTTGCCATATAAGCGCTGCAAGTGAGAGTTGCAGGAAACAGACTGGTTCATCATCAGAGCCTGCAGCAGAACAATGGACCCAAAGATCTGTTTGTTTTCCTCCAACCTCTGACGGTCTCACCTTCGGTTAATTGCTTGGTTTCTACAGGGAGGCCACATTTGCACCATTCCTACGGTGTCTTCGTTCAGCTTAACTTACACTACTATACTTTGACACTTCTATATTTCAGGTGCCTGAATTTTAAGATGATTTTAGACAACACTTTTGTACCACCAATTAGTACAAGAAAATTGTTACTATTGTGATTTGTTATTTGTCTTTGTGTCATAACATATTAATTTTTTGTCCTTGTCTGTCTATAGAAATAATTATAAATTGTTAATTATCTTTGGCTAACTCAGAGGGTTTTTTGTTTTGCCTAACGGGTTTTTTATTCTCGGTATCGAAAAATGCAGATTCCATCTATAGAAATTGCAATGAACGAAATGTGCAATTTTAATATAAAATATATATAATAATCGTCGCCTGAAAATAAAATAAAATTCGGACACCTGAATTTTAGCAAGTCCCATACTTTGAACCTCAACCCAGGCACACTTCTCTGTTATTTTAGAACTAATTCTCTTCTCTAAAAAAATCTGAGGATTTTCATTCATGCACAAGTATGTTACGCTTCTAAAGGGTCATTTGGAACAAAGAATTGCATAGGAAAAATAGAGTTCAATTCCTTTGAAATTGCAATGCGTTTTCTCTCTCTCTCTCTCTCTCTCTCTCTAATAAATATCTAACCATCCAAACATATCATTCAAGAAATTCCTATTCTCATTCCATAGGATTCATCCCCCAATCTTGCATTTTCTCGTTCATGCACTTTGAGAATTTTGCATTCCAAAGGATACCTGAATGAAACATGGCATGCTTTGGTTAACTTAGGCAATTACACTAGCAAGCAAGCCATACTTTGATCATGTTTCGTTCCCATTTCTTAGTTGCTTTGTGGTGTGTCTAAATATGTTCTATTCCATGCATTCATTATCTATTTTTGTTCCTCCTTTGTATTTGTTACTGAAAGAGAGATGATACAACTTTTATGTTCCCCCGCTACAACATAAACGATTTTTAGAGGCGTCTTTTTTTCCTAATCATGGTCAGATAAAAAAACCACCTCTACAAATCGATCTGTAGTGTCACCACCTCTACAAATGAATTCCGATCGCCTCTAAAAAGGCATTTTTGTGGCAGTGCTCCCGGCATTGATGCATCGCATAGTGTTCTTCTGAAAAAAAAACGATTATGTAGTAGCCGTTGTCCCAGCATTGATGCATCGCATATTGTCTTACGATCACAACCAGAATTTATAAGTTCTCCTAGTGAAGTGGAGTTCTCCTAGCATTTTGGTATTCAAAATTTAGTATAAAATTTTCCTACTAAATGCCTCCTAGTACCACCATTTGAGTAGCGGATGAAACACCAATACGACAGTTCATGGTACCCACTGGAACCGTTGGGCTTTTTGTAGTACCTACTAGTTGATATGGAGTTGCGGCCGAGAGTTGATGGAGCAGGGACATCTCACATGAGAGTGATCTGCTCGGGGCAAGGCAAAGGATGAGATCCGGATGCTGAGGATTGAGTAATGGGGGCAAGGCAATGTATAGTAATCTTAATCTTAAGTATGGGACCAATGGAAAGCTAACCTGCCAGTGATCCGCCAGACCCTGGCGAGTGGCGACAAAGGCAGGAGGCCCACATGTGAGACGCCGCCCACAAGGCAAGGGGAAGGGGAGGAGACTAGTCCAAGTTCCAGAAGGAGGACTCCATTCCAATTTCCAAAGCAATCAAACAGTCTTCCCTCTCGAGGCCCAACTAAACCGAAACGGAAACGGGCCCGCTCCACCGCCCCTTGCGTTGGACTTGGACCGAGTCGCCGCCGTTCCCGTTCGTCGCCTACAAATACCCCGCCACGGCCGCCACGCTAGGTTTGGCCGCGTCGCCGCCGAAACGCCCACCAGCGAATCTGTCTGTCCCTGTTCACCTGTTGGCCATTGCCAGTTGCCACCACCAGTCCACCACTGACCAAACACCTTCTCTTCCCGCGTGCTCCGCATCCGCGTCTGGACACCGGCCGGATAGATGGCAAGAGCGACGGCGCCGTCCCGTCGGCCACCGAGCGCCATGTCTGCTGCTGCTGCGGCGGCGGCGGCGTCTCCACCGCCCGCAGCAGCAGCGTCGCTCGTCCCCCAGCGCCGCGGGGCCTTCTCGCGGTCTCATCATCAGCCTCACCACCACCGCCGCCGCCTCGCGATGCCCGTGGTCGTCGCGCCGGGGCCGCCGAAGCGGGCGTCGTGCGCGTGCTCGCCCACCACACACCCGGGCTCCTACCGCTGCGCCCTGCACAGGGGCCAAGGACAAGCAGCCGCAGGCGGAGGCGGCGGGGCCGGGGCCCCGCTCCCGCTCCCGGCCTCCACGGCGCCGGTGTCCAGCAGGCTCAGCGCCCCGCGGCGCGCGTCGATGGCCAACCCGCTGGTGCGCATCGCGGCGGTGGAGGGCGGCGACCACATCAGGCGCGCGCTGGCCGCGCTCGTCCGCCCGCCGCCCTCCCAGACGCGCCACCGCGCCGACGCCTTCCGCCCCACGCCCAGCCGCCTCTCCGCCATGTCCTCGGCGTCGAGCTAATTAACGCCGTGACAGCAGCATCGACCATCGAGAGCTCGTCGTCGGATACTCGGATTCCTCGTAGTCGCAGCAACATTGCCGCCGCGACAGTTTTGTTGGCCACGTTTTTTGGTTTCATTCTTTGAATTTTTTTTTTACCCACAGAGGAAGGAACTGCAACTGTACATGTACATTAATTTACTGCAGTCGCTGTCGATGTGTTTCGTTCAGTTTCACTACTTTTTACTCCAGAGCAGCCACATTGAGTTTTACTGAGGCGTGCGCAGCGGGCTTGTAACGGACGGACTGACGCCGTGTCTAGTTTCACGAAGTTTGGAATTTTGGACTACTATAGTATTTTCGTTTTTATTTGGCAATTAATGTTTAAACATGAATTAATTAGGTTTAAAATGTTCGTCTCGCAATTTTCCACCAAACTGTACAATTAGTTTTTTTTCGTCTATATTTAATGCTCCATGCACGGACCGTAAACATTCGATGTGATAGCTACTGTAGCAATTTTTAGGATTTTGAGTTGGAACTAAACATGGGCTGATTTTTTGTAAATAATCTTTCAAATGAGACAATTTTGGGTTCCAAGCCAAGCAACCGAAATTTTATTTAGTTATTACTCGCATTGACTTTTAAACTTGATAATACTGGGTGGTGGGAAGGAGCGATGAATGGAATCGCGCGCTGGGTTTCTTGGGGGAGGAGTTTGGTCTCATGGTCGCGTTGCCTTGCCTCCAAGGATAGCGACAGCGAGTCAACGAGCTGGGCCTTGGGCGGCAGGTGCAGTGCAGCCGCCTTCGTTTGTTTTTTTTGTGTTTCCCGTCCTGCTTCCGGTGTGTCATGTGTGAAGCCTTGGAGATTCGGGTCGTTGACTCAGTCGGGCTGCTGCGTTGGAGGAGCGCAAGGACAGCGAGGCGCAGGCGACCCGTTCGTGCGGACCAAGGCCGCGTTTAGTTAGCTGCCGATTCGGCATTTGCACAGTATTGATGTGACGGTGAACACCGTAGCAATTTTATTTGTATTTGTTAATTATTCTCTAAATATTAACTAATTTGGCTCAAAAGATTCGTCTCGCAAAGTTCAACCAAACTGTGCAAATAGTTTTTTAATTTCATCTGTATTTAGTACTCCATGCATGTACCGCAAGTTTGATATGACGGAGAATCTTCTTTTTGCATAGTGCCAAATTTTAGGCCCTGTTTGGTTGAGCTGTGGCTGTGGGAGAAAACTGCTGTGGGCTGTGAGTTGTGAAAAAGCTGCTGTGGGCTGTGAGCGGTAGAAAAGCTGAAAGCTGTTTGATTAAACAAGTATAAAATATACCTTTTATCTTTATCTCTCTTGAAACAACTATGAAAGAGCTTTTTATTCCACCAATTTCGAAAAGCAGAAAGCCAAAAGCCAAAAGCAGGGTCAAACTAGCTTTCAAAAATGAACTACGGAAAAACAACTAATTCTGAAAAAGCACCCTCCAAAAACAATCCCTTTAGTTAGGCTTTTGGCTTTTAGGACCAAAAGCCAAAACCAAAAAACCAAACAAACATGGCCTTAGATTTCGGTCGAACTACGAGACAGTCAACAATAGGCTAGCAGTAGTACGGTACGTTGTAGCTACAAGTTCCGAGGGCTCGTTTGGTACGGGGTACGGCTCCGGCTCGAGCAGCACTCTTGGAAACGACTACTAGAGAGCTGTTCAGCTCGTTCGGATGGTGTGTAGCACAGTGTTTTTTAGATTTTTTTTTTGAATTAAATAGTATTTTGTGAGAGAGAATAAGCTAAAACAAGCTGAAAATATACTAGCACGCTCGTTGTTTTCTGATGAACAGGAGTCAAAAAAAAAAGCTCATCAAGTGTTCCGACTTCTCTGAAATAGCATTTGAGAAGAAGCCCTACCCATTTGCAGTCTTTCCTACCTAACATTGTCGACGATTGTGACCTGGATTCGAGACGGCTTAGGTCATCCTCAGTTAAAGGTTCCATATTGGTGTTTCCAAAAATGTCATGTATTCTCTCGGTCCCATGAAACGTGGTCATTTTCATTTTTCGAGATGTCAACCATTAACTTTGACCAAATATATAAAACTATATTAATATTTTTTACATATTTAGTGTGAATGTTAAATATATTTTTCTAAAATAATATTTAGAGATATAAGTGCCGCTAATATTTTCTACAAAACTAATCAAACTTAGAAAGTTTGACCAACATGAACCCTGTAATGACTTGTTTTAGGGGACGGAGGGAATAAACAATAGGGCAGTAAAATGATGAAAAAATGGTCTGTGCAATGCATTTTTTATTTTACTACTCCCTCCATTCCAAATTACATAAAATGTTTTGGCTTTTCTAAGGACGTTGGTTTTGCTATGTATTTAGATATGCACTATATCTAAATCCATAGTAAAAGCAATGTACCTAAAAAAGCCAAAACATCCTATTTAGTAGTAAATTGTTTACCAATGTGTAAAACAAAAATAGTCAATATATATTTATATTTATTGTATATAAGTATTTTTAGTAGTCTTAGTTTCTTTATTAAGCTTTTATTAGCTCTTAAATACACTAATACCACTTAGCCAGCAGAAGAAGTTGTTAACCACACATGCAGTCATGGATATACATCTCAGAATGTGCTTACTTTTTTGTGACTTTGACATAATGTTTATCTTTACGGTTGCTGGCCGGCTTCTGCACATGACACAGGTATCCTCAATCATGCATTGGCAAGTTTTCCCATTTCCCATGAACACAGTTCCTTACTAAGTTAGCAATACTTGTATTATTATTTCCTTATACTAATTTGGTTTTATAGGAACATATTATTTTCTTACAAGTTTTCCCATTTCCCGTGAACACAGTTCAAAGGAAGCACATACCATGTACCAGAATTTTCGGCCGCCTTAAGGGAAGTATGAGGTGTTTAATTTCTTGCATTTATCCCTTTGAAATGTCATTGAGCGGGCTCTCGAGTATTGAAGAAGTGGCGTATTTTGAAGGGCATGCCAAGTTTCTCATCTCGTACTCAGAAACTTATCATTCTTGCTTGTATGGCGTTGACTAATTTTATTCGTGACAACAATTTGCATGATATACACTTCTCTAATGTGACGCTGATGAGCAATACTTGCTTCAACCAACAAGTGGCACGCCATCAACACAAGGAGATGAGAGTCAAGATGTGAAGGATGAGGATATACCATCCACAGTAAGATAGCAGATGCTTATGTAAGTGCAAGAGGGGGATAATAATTATGTTATGGATGGTATCATTGTATGAGCCCTTTATCTTTTGTAAAATGGTATTCTCTATTTATGTGGACCATATCACAATGATGGATGCAAAACTTGGAAAAGTTTTTTTTCCTTTCCAAAAGTCATTTACATGCAAATCAGTGAATAAATTAGGTTTTTAGGAGCAATTTGCATATAACTTTTCTCACAGCTGCTCTAACAATACAGCTTTCAGCTTTTCTCACAGCTCTCAACAACTTTTCCACAACCCACATCTCAAAGCAGTTTTTTAGAAGCCACAGCTACCAAACAGGGCCTAAATAGTACAGTTTGTGGAATGAGGTCATTCTAATAAATTTGATGAATGGATTAATGATGCACCGCTCCAAACCAAACACTCATAATAGTACGGCTACTGCATATTCTGACAGTTTCCATATGCATCATCAGATGTTTCTAACTTACAAAATCGAACATCCAAAATATGGTTTTGTATAGCCATTGAATATTCTTACACGCTGTGAAAGTGTGACTTCCATCTTAACTATCAATTGTAAA